AGAAATAGATATTCAATCTTTAAGCAGTTTTTTTAAAACAATCCGAAATCGTTTGGTCGAAATGCAGGAGAAAAGGAAGATAGACAAGTGGAGACACCCGCAAAGATTCATCCAATTGTTATTATTGATCGGCTTTGATGAAAATGTTGAAAAAGAATAGTCCCAATTAAGAGACTTTGGGGTATCAAATTCAAGCGTGTCAAACTTTATAGTGACTATTGAGATGCCTTATCTCTATTAAGAGCTATTAATTATGAACTTTATGAGGATTGAGAAATTATTACATAGATTCAACAATTACTTTAAAGATTTTGACAGGTTGATCTGATTTGCATTGAAAGAGAATTTAACACTTAAATTGATTTCTTAGCTAGAGTTGTCTTATCACTCCTTTTGAGTCTTCACATAGTGGCCTGTGACTTTATTCCTTCAATCATGAAGGATTCTAAATTTTCTTTTGTTCTCTATTTTGCTTTCTCTTGTATTAAAAAAAAAAAAAGTAGTCCCATGAAAGCCATGTATTTATGTAGTTAATACCATAAAAATTACTAAACTAGTTTTATATTTAACATCGATCCCAGCTTAATCATAATTTTCAATTACATAAATGGCGTGAAACCCGACATAGCTAGACTAGACTACCATGGTTTCTCCACACTCATTGGCCCGCATTCTTGCAACCTCTCATAGCCAATTAATCTCTTGGATTTGGATTTAGATTTTCTGAAATTGAGATCTGTAAATCTTTTTTTTTTTTTTATACTTTTGCTCTTAAACTATTGCCTTAAGGTCTGCAAGTATCCTAAATAGACAATATTGGATCATATATGTTCTTAAACATTCAAAATGCTACTTCATTGCCCCATTTTTAATGGGACATGGATTCTCTCCTCTTTCATTCTTTTTTCTCTTGAATCATTAGATCAATATTTAAATGGTTTAAATTTAATCTCCTATAAAATTATTATTAAAATATTAAATGGTAAAAAATATAAATAATAAAATTCAAACTGCTAAAACTTAATAAGAATAATATAAAAATACAATAAAAGTAAATTAAAATGAAATATTTTGAAGGAGATCAAATTTAAATCATCTAAAATTTTGATGTAATAGTTAGAAATTAAGAAGAGGAGGAAAAAAGGATAGGAAGGAAGGGGAGAGGGGACTCTCCTTTTTTTCCTCTTCTTTTCTCTCTACTTCCTCCACCTTCACCCTTTATATTATTTTATTAAATAATTTTTTTAAAAAAGATAAAATTAATGAAAGGTGAAGATAAGGGAAGTGGAGAAAAAAGAAGAGAAAAAAAAGAAAAGAAAAGTTTCTTTCCCAAAGAAGGAAGAAGAGAGAATCTTTTCCCTTGTTAATGTGTAATAACGTTCATTTTTGGTGGAGTGAATCCCATTATTTTTTATAATAAAATATTAAGTTAAAGGTTACTTCTGCCGATAAGTTTTGGATATTTATAAGCCTCAAGTAAAAAGTTCAAGATAGTAGTGAATTTTAACCTAATATTTTATTATAAAAATAATAATAACAAATGGTAGGACCCATTCTAGATGTTATGATGCATTAACTATGGGATAATAGGGTATTGCATTTCGAACGTTTAGAGACAAAAATGATTTAAAATTAAATTAAGATACCTGCAAAATTCTAGAGATAAAATTAAAGAATAAAAATAACCCTTAAATCCTTAACCTAAAAAACTTCATATATATTTACAGATATCAATTTTAGAAGATAGACCCCCATATATAAAGAATGATTCACATATTCTCAAATCGTATATTATTGCGATAAGTTCTTTCATTTTTAAGATCTTAACATCATATAAATGGTTAGTTCTGATGTTTCAATTTAATTTTTTCCATAACTTTTCATATTATTTTTTAGGATCATTTTTTATTAATATATTTAAAACATTTATTTGAATATTGCTATATACTTAGTCATTTAAAATTGTAGAAATTTGATATTGAAATTAAAGCAGTATTGTGTGGGTGCCTGTGTCGAGGAATGATATTTTAGCATGAACCAAAATAAATAAATTTGGCGAGTTAACAATAAATTAATAATTATTTGAGTGGAAGTGAAACAATGAAAACTAGTTTTCGAACTGCAGATTTGGTTAAAAGAAAATAAATTTTGCCTCTTTGTTTAGAACCTCATGGAAAGAAGATTTGGTTAAAACCTATAAATTTAGTTAAAAGATATAAATTTAGTCCTTTAATAATGCACTGAATTGAAAATAACCACAATACTTCCATTAAATTTTTCAATAAAATCTTCAACCTTATCAAAGCCCCATCGCCGATGCCAGCCCAGACCATCCCACAGCGGCACCAATCACTGAAGTATAAACATTTCAAGGTGGCTAGGGGGACAATATTTGAGCTTCAACATAAATTCAATAACAACCAAACTAATGATGCCTCTTAATAACATAATGCAAAATCTTATATGTAACGTAAATCAAGCTGACAAACTATGTCTGACCTAACCTGTTATTTCCTAACTTGTTAACAAGTTTATCTAACAAATTAACAAGATTAATTGAATACGTAGAAGCTACTAGCGAGTTCCTCCAGTTAACTAACAAGTATATATCAATGAAATGACAAGCTGAGTTAAGAGTTTTAACTAGTGCACTTTACACATATAACAAGCCAATAAGATTGAATACATATAATGCATTGCTAACAAGTTCTCGTAATAGATTTAAAGAAGTACGTGAAACTAAAATGATGAACGGTCTTTTGAGGAGCGAAAGTTTTAATTAAAAAAAAAACAAAACAAAACGAAGGGCAATAATTTCACTTCAAAACATATTTTCAAGCCAATCCTTTGATTTTGTTATGAATTTTTAAATTCTATCAGTCTCGATTTGAAATTGAACACTTACAGGGCCAAGTTCTGAAATTCTAAAAAAAATAAAAATTAATGGTTAAAGAAGTGAGATATGATGATATATATTTTTACTTGTCATTGGGATGGGAGAAGATTAGTGGGATTGAGACTTGGAAATTTTTTTTTATTATTTTAGTTGTCACATATTTTTTTAGTACTCTATCCACATATATTAGTAATTTATTACCACAACTTGATAATCTTATATATTAATTATTCCGCGTACAAAGTTAGAGCACTGATTAATTTTTTTTCCCAAAATCACCCACATTTACAACTTTCTAATATTTCTATTTTAAAATGTATGCTTTTAAGTAGAGGTAAATTTTACAAACCATTTCATTCTTAAATCATTTTAATGATTTGCAATAAATTAAGTTGTTATTTAATTAGATCCAAGTTATCATTTTCTTACCTCAAATCAAGTTGTCATTCACGTTGAATCAGGTTGTTATTTACATATAACTAAATTATTACTTTTATATATTCCAGTTGTCATTTATATATGTCTAAATTTTTATTTTATTATGAATATCAATTATCGCTTATGTATAATATTTTATTGCATTATCATATCACAGTGTATAGGTGGCCCAAAGGCTGATGATATACATTTTATTGTTTTTAAATAAGTGGTACTGGGTACTTTCACTTTTACCAAGATCACCCGGCCCCTTCCTAAAATTAATCAACCACTAGTCGTCAGAGCTCTAACAACTAGTGATGGAGAGCTTTTTTTAACTAAGAGGCTTGTGACTTGAAAGTAATTTATGCAATAAATGCATCTGAATTTAAATTTTAAATTTTATATTTAAAATTTATGTATTTAAAATTTTTCATTTAAATGATATAAAAAATTTTAAAGGTGCATGAAAAGAGAGATGAGGTGAGATTCAAAGCAAAAATGGAAGATGAAAAGTGATAAACTTACCTTAATTCTTCAACTACTGAGAGATAAAAATGAGAACTGAGAGGAGTGGCAAGAATATCAAAAATTTTGATAGTAAAAACATGAAATATAAAAAAAGAGAGAGTTGAAATAGTTAAAATTTTAAGTAATTAGAGTGTAAATAGAAGTTGGAATTACAAATAAGTTATAATAAAATATTAATTTACATTTAGATCAAATTCAAAATTCAAATACTTTTATATATTCAAATAGAGAATTTAATTCAAATTTAAATATAAATTTTTATATATCCAAACGCATTTTAAATAAATTTTTCTTTGTAACAAGTGGATATTCTAGCCCCAGTGAATGAATAAAGCAAGCCCAAACTGTTGGGCATCAAAAAGTCAAGCTAAACATAAACGATGGGCTTGCTTGAGCCAAACAATTAGTACAATATTTTACTCTCTTTATTTAAAAATATAATTTTTTTTAAATTAAATATTTATTTTGAGATATAATTATTATATTTTTTAAAAAAAATACTGTTATTGATAGTGAATTTATATTTATTATAGGGTATTTAATAGAAGTAAATATGAAAAGATAGGATTAGTTTAAAAGTAAGTAACCACTTTATTGTGAGATGAGATTTGGTTAAAAATGTCTTATATTTTTGAATGGAAGGAGTAGCATTTATCTAGAATTAGGATTGAATTGTAAAATTAATAATTAATAAATTAACAAGTCAAATTAAAATATGATATATGCACAACAAAACACATTTTTCACTTAAATCACAAAAAAATCAATAATTGTTTTTTAATCATAGCAATAGACACGAAATCAACAATTACTGGATTAATTAAGAAGGGACTCAATTAAACAAACTTAATAATTCAAAACATAATTTTGCATTCAAATTAAACTTAAAAATAATCATCCCAAATTGTTGTTAAAAAAAAAAAAAATCTCTTAACATCTCACGATTATAGCCAGCAACTATCAAGCATTCATATCCCTGAAACATAACCGGCAGACATCAACGAGCGACTAAAATTTATATCGATATATCTGCCAGGACAAAAGGGTCCCGGCAGACATCAACGAGCGACTAAAAGTTATATCGATATATCTGCCAGGACAAAAGTTGACCCTATGTTTAAGTCAGAGCTCTGCCTTTTCGTTATAGAAGAGAAGATAAGGAGGAACTGAAGAACAGTTATATATATATATATATAAAGACAATTACAGACAAAAAAGTTCATAAAATAAAAGGTAAAAATAAAGAAAAAGGAAACAAAAAAAGAGCCTCGATTATTAGGAACTGAGGAACAGTTGCGCCGTGTCGCGGAATTTTCTGAATTTGCATAATCATACATCATGCAAAGGTAAGAACCTAAGTTTAGTGCAAGGCCTTTATGAGAACACATGCACTTAAAGCAAATATTGTAGATTTAATGGCCACAGAGGATGGTAATCTTCCCTTGTCCTTCCTAAAGAACAGTCCTCCGTATATTGGCAAATTGATGAGAACAAGAACCACACATAAGATAACCTGCAACACCATCTTCTCCAAGACCCTAATAATGCCACCTTCACTCATAAGAGCCTCCACAGATACGCCGATAAAGCAAAACAAATTGAGCATGGCAAGTGTTGCCAATAGAGTGAACATCGGCGAAGAGGCTCCAAACTCCATAACTTCTTCCCGGTAGCGCTGTGAAACTTCTTGTTCTGCAACTTTAGCTGTGATTATAAATCCTGAATCAGAAGCAAACCCTAGAAGCTTCAAGGTGGTATCCATGAAAGCAAAGAAGTAAGAGCTTGTTCTCTTGTAGAGCCACATTCTCTGTTCGTTCCACCAACCCCGGACTGTTCCCCCACAGCTCAAAAACTCCAACAAGCTGTAAGTGGTTTCTCCAACTATTACAGATGCGTAAGGTATCAACCATCGGCTTGACATCTGGTTCATAAACAATCCACCACGCTTGGTCAATTATTCCTGGTGTCCATCTTATATATGCGCGTGTGTAATATCTGGGTTAAGTTATTACATATAACCTCCTGAACTTTATGTTATCTATGAAAACATTCCTAACCTTTGAAACATGCATGGGTTACGGTGCAAAAATATCAAGGAATTTTTCTCCAGGAGCTCGTGCCTTAAGTCAATACCAATAGGACAAGGAAAAATTTTAATTTTATAAAAACTTTGGATACCCACAAACTATTATTGATTTAAGGATATTAGAAGTTCTTTAACAAAAAATTTCTAATTATTTTTTAATCCTAACCATCAAAACTTTACAATAAACCTCTTAAACTATAATATTTATACAAATGTAAAGTCCTCTGCTACTAGTTTTGTTTATTAGTTGTCTATACATAACTTAAAATTTAGAAGGTTATCTGCATATAAAGTTTTAAGTGGATTATATGTGTATCTATGGTTCAAAATGTAAGGGAGATTTGTGTAATTTAGTCTAATGTCTATTTCCAGTCTACATTAATGGAGGTGTAGAAACAGAGATGATAAAGAAACTGTGATGCTTATAAGGTTATACAAATGGAGATATGCACAGATTATACCTTTGGAAACAAGGGAATGCCCTTAAAGAGGCAAAGAGAGGGTACGAGGGAGAAATAGAGGGTGGCCAAAGAGTTAGATGACCATAAGTTATAGCAGCAGTACACCATTTGGAGTCCCAAACTGATTTTGCCAAAACCATACCATGCAGGACTGTACTTTGAAACCAGAATCTGAAGTTGACCCTCTGACCATCTCTTGTGTTGCACTAGTGTTTGCCCCAATGTGTTTGGAGCCACCCCTAAGAATGCCTTCCTTTTTGGATTGCAATACACTGATCTCCACCCTTTGCTCTTTATAGATAATCCAGTTATCACATCCTCCACTGCACACCCATATAGCAGCCCCATCTGCACTCAACTTATCACATTCATCTCAGAAATTACATAGAAAGATACACGCGCGCACTGTGAGAGAGAGAGAGAGAGAGAGAGAGACCTCTGTTCCCCATAGTGAGTTTTGTTCATGAGTACAGCTAGCAAGAGCCTCTGAGTCTTGTTCTTGTTTCTGTAAGCTTGCTTCCATGAATGGGTCATCCTGGCTCTTCCAGTCATTGACCTTGCGTCGATCGCTGAACTTCTGCCCACAAAGAACATCTCTCCTGTGAAAGCAACCTGATCCAATATACAATGGACCACCATAACCATCGGCACCGTGAAATTCCATCTACAAATTAACCCAATCCTTCACGTTATTACGAATGATAAGAATCAGCATATAACCTTTTTCGTCAGCTTACATACTGATGATGTCACAAATGTTGATATGTAAAGACACCGGAGACAACATGATAATATATGTGGGTGTTATCAAAAACTATTAATATGATATCATCGAATCTGATATGAATCTAATGCATGTGTTAGCGAACCTCGGCAATTACTCGTAGGTCACTCCCGTACAAGTCATTCTTGGTGACACCCACGAAGTTCTGCGGGAACTGCACATAAGCTATGTCATGACCCTTCTCTTCGTCCATGAAGAAGCACAGTGCATCTCTCACTGATTCTGAATTGTTAGAGTACATGTCACAGTCGACATTCAGAATGATCGTGCCGTTGCTAATCTTTGAAGACACCCTTATCTGCATTTTCAACCAAGAAACTTCCTGAGCTATTCATTACCCATATATATATATATATATATATATTCTTTGTGATGAAATTAAATTCATGCAGTACCAAAGAATTCATGGCTCCGGCTTTAAAATGATGGGGACATTGGGGTCTCTTCTCACGAGCCAAGTACACTAGAGTTGGCATAACAGACCCTTCTACATCTTTCGAATTCTGTGCATCTTTCCTGTGAAGTAATATCTATAGGAAAAAAAAATCCCTCAAAGCGTATAATAAGAGCAGATGAAACAGGTATTAAATAGAGGATCGAAAATCATGCTTGAGAAGTTGAAGGTGATAATAACATACGTGAAGAATTGTATCGTGGTCACGCTGAGAGGAATACGAATCCCACTGAGTAAATCCCTTGTGCTTTGAACGTACATCTCTCGGTGCTTCTCCCAACTTGGTAGCATCTTCGATTCGTCTTTCCATATCTTTGTATAGTTTCTACGTGCAGAGGAAGGAATTAAAGAAACCTCTCAGTTGAGAAAACAGGCACACGTATAGGTCCTAATTAGTTTAATTATATATATTACCTTAATGGCTGCGAATTCTTTGGACCAAACAGAGTCGTCATCTGAAGAATAAGTGGGATTGGACAAACTGTGAAAATAAGCAGAAGGAGATCTGGGTTCGACGTTGAATCTCTTGCAGAAGGGAAGCCAGTGCTTAGCAAAAGAGGAAGCTTCTAGTAAAGCATAGAAAGTGATCTCTGAGGCAGCATCGTCGGAGAGATACACACTGAGCTTCTCGGTGGGATAGTCGTAAGCCATTACTGATAACACTGTGTTTATCACCATCAATGGTGGCTCTATCTCTGGGTCTGCCGTGCACACAAACACGTCCACTCTTGGCAAGCTATGCCCGTATCTACCAAGTTAAGATAATATATCAATTGAGTCTCTTTGGAAGATGGATTTTTTTTCACTCAGATCTCGAGATGTTGAGATGTCATCGAAGTCTCAAGAGAGTTTAATCAAATTATATTACATGAATGTCCTTTCTTTTTTTTTTAAAAAAAAAAAAAGCCAAAGAATCTTCTTCTTCCGCCATGGCCATGACTTTGATGCCGGCGGTGGTTTGTGGGCCTTGCCGACTGCCATGGTGAAAGGAAGAGATTTTTGTCTATACATTCGAAGAGACTATTAAACTATGTTTTTTATAATTCTTATCTTAAAAATTATATTCTTTCATTTCATTCTTTAATTAATCAATGAGATATTTTTTAATATGCTCTAAAAGAGATGGCATCTTAAAATATCGGGACACATAAAAATGGGAGATGGGAGTGCATGTATGTATTGGGCTTGGCTAATATCGTTTTGCAAGTAACGCCAATTTCTCTACAAAATGTGAGCCCACCCTGTATAATTTTTTTAAATCTTAATTCAAATACTTACACTTCCTCCACTTCAAACATACACTGATATATGGCCTTTTAACCTCATGCACATTTATCAAGAGAATATTTGGCTAATTAATACCTTTTTTTAACTCTGCTTTTAATTTCTTTAACAGAAATCATTGGTTATTTGTTTTCAATAGGAATCATAATTTTGATATATTTCTAAAAGGATATTTTAGTGAAAAGATCAAAATTGTAATTGACTAGAATTTTTAAGAAAGAATGATAGTTAGATTTTAAAATATTGAATTAATACCAGTTAAATCTTTAACAATTTTTTTTAAATAAAGTGAAAATACTTATTCAAATTATTATAAATTTAGAAGTTTTAACTGTAAATAAATATTTAATATCAATATAACTTTTAGATTGTGACAGAAATTTATGTTTATAACTGATTGAATTGATATTTATAATTTATTTTTGTTAAAGACCTACCTATCTTTAATTCATTCCTTTAAGATTTAACTGTCATTTTCTCAGTTTCTTAACATGTCTTGCATATTGAAATATATAATTTTTTATAAAATACCTTACATTTAAACCAAATTTAACAATGTATAAAAATTAAGCTACACAAGATTCCTAAACTGTGTACATTTAAAACTTGACAGTAAATTCTCCAAACTTTCATTTTTTTCCCTAGATAACCCCCATGCCACGCGTCAATTATTATATTATTTTACGCCACTGTAAAAAAAAGTATTTATATGACGTTATCTATTAAACGATCATATGCAAAAGTATTTTATAAATAAAGATGAAAATTAAGAAAATAATTGTTAAACAATTTTATAAAATAACCGTTTTATAAGTAGATAAATACTAGATGGTTTTTTAAAATAATTGTTTAGTATTTGTCTAAAGTTACGCGAGGCTTGATGTCAGCATGATATAAAATGGTTCTAAAAAGGAAATTGTTTAGCATTTAGTTTAGTTACTAAGTGGTTTTCTTTAGAGGACCATTTTATATACAACATTAAATGGTTTTGGTAGAAGAACTTAGTACCCGTAGTTTAAAAACTTTTTCCCTCCCCTAATTAAAAGGACTCCATCTTTGAATGTTACCCAGAGCTCATCTCCCTTGCCTTTGATCCTCCACCATCGAAACACCCAAACCCACTATTTCTGGCCATTCCCTACCTTCCTCTGCCACAGAAATGCCATGAGTTCGTCACCGTTTGTGCTCGTTATGGGTCTTTCAGTTGCATGGGTCTTTCTTTAATTTGCTCGCGAGTGTTTTGCTTGCCACGGGTCTCTCAATTGCATGGGTCTCTTCTTCCATTGCTGGCCATTGCACCACCATTGCTCCACCACTCCCTCACTCCCCCCCCCCCACAATCTCCCTCATTGGGTTGTGGGTAGCTTGGCAAAGTTTAGTTTAAAAAAAAATTGAATTTTTTTGTCTTAAGTATTGCAAGCTCCAATGGTGTGTTGGCAAAATATATAAAATGAATTTGAACAAAATGGATCTACAACATCTCCCTTCTCATTCAGTATCAAGAGGACACAGAACATGTGAGAGTTATGACTTATATTTTAAATGAATTTGTGCATTGTTCTGACTTCGAAATTCTTTTTATTTGTTATTGAGCTTGGAACTGTATTTCTTTTCTCATAGATTATGGCCATTGTGTTACATAATTGTTTATCTTTTTAGTTTTAGTTAGCATTTTGATCTAAAATTGCTTTATGTGAATGTTGTTTAAAAATTGTTGTTAGTTTCGTATTGAATTTGTGAAAAGAGGATATTAAGTCTAAAAAATGCTTAATTTTATATTATTTTGCTGTCAATTTTTTATTTAAATTTTGTTTTACGTACCCTTATGTAACTTTGTTGAAGTTCATTGAAATAGTTTAACATTTTATATCATCAATTGATCAATTTTTTTTTCTCTTCACTCCGTACCTTGTTCTATAGCCTCCTCTTAAATAGCTATCTATAAGTAACTCACCAAGATCTCTATGCAATCCTCCTAAAATTTTCCTCACCCTTTTGTCTTTCCATTTTCTACTCTGCCCCTCTCTCTCATGGATTTGGCAAAGAGAGTATGCTCTTTGTCGTGGAACAACAAACTCTGCCTTCAAAAAGTTTTTCACGTGGATTGCTTTTGGCGTAAAGTGCCAATGATCAGGCCTACTCCAACACCTCCAATAGCAACATAGTTTGAAACCTACTTCTTTAAGAATTTAGATGTAATCTCCAACTTCTCACATACCAGAAATCAAGATTTTGACAAGGTCTTCTTCCATCAAAAGGTTTAGCTAGTGGGATTTCGAAGATCTAATGAGAGAATCAATAATGGATTTTGGTTTTTTGGAGCGATAGTATAAGGAGATGGGGGTGGGCTTTGGGTGGCAAGTTTTAGGCATTGTTTGCAGGGCTAGAGGCGTTTGAAGGAAGTGGTAGCAAATTGGAGGGTAATCCTCTACGTGGTCCCTTATTGTTTTCAAGGTGTGAAAAATTTGTCCTCTCGTCTACTTCATCTTGCTTTTCCCTCCAATTCTGGAGAGCTGTGACAACACTGATGTTGTTCAAGGAAGATGATGAAGAATGATTCCCTTGGATAGGGTTAGCCTTCAATGTTTTAAAGAAGAAAGCCACGTATTTGGTCAAAAGGGCTAAGATAAGATACATCAGAGAGCCAAGTCAGATTTTTCTTGTGCCCCACAAGGTGTCACATCACCGGATAATATGAGAGTTCACTAATAGGTGGATATTTTTTGACCTCAAAAAAATTACTTAAAAAGAAAAATTACTATATAAAATGTTCAACATTTTAAAAAAAAAATATAGGGACAAGTTTTGACTTTAACCCTAAATTCTATTGGTTAATTGATGAACATATAATAATTGCAAGGGAGTTTATTATCTGCATAAATAAAAAGGTTGAGAATATTTATTATAAAGTTTTGAAAGGCACTAAGATAAAATTATCTAAATATAACTCAAAATTCAAGGACTAACATAAAAATTAGCCTAAAAATTCAACGTGCTAGCTAATGTGGCTTTATGATAGACAAAATGCAAAGAAAAAAAAGTTAAGACTCGTGCCATGTTTCGTAATGGAACCGAGCTAGCCACTAGGCTTGAAGTCAACAATATCAAATAAACAACCTTCTCTTCTTTGAACCCAAAACATAAAAACTATATTCTCTTCAAGAATATTATAACAAAATAGATACTTTTAAAATTGGATTTGAAAAAGTTTCCTACCAATCTTGGTTGAAATACAAAATTTTCATATTATCGTCCTCACAATAAAGATTCTATATAAGATGTTATCTACAGATTAAAGAACCTTCAGTTAAAAAAGTTTAAACTTTTACAGAGACAGATTGAGAACATGTTTTATTTGCATACATATAATTATATATATAAATATAATTTAATATTTTGCCTCCACAGCTTAACTTTTCTTCTGTAGCCTCTGCCACCGCCCTTCCTCTAGTTAAATCGTCAATGAAGAGTTAAACTAAAATCAATTTTATTAAAATTTTGAAAACAACAAATACTTTTGAGAAATTTACCCAAAAAGTATTTTAAAAAAAATAATATTAAAAACTTTGCCAATCTAATCAATTTTAACTATTAAATTGTTGAATCAATGACTGAATTAATTTAATACTTGGTTTGTGATGGGTTATTTGATCATTAACTTATAAACCACTCTCTTAACTAATTTAATTTCCGGTTCGATTTTAATTGAAAAGGCAACAATTTTTAAGAGGAGGGGGGAAGAGAGAGAGTGCCCTCGCGGCGGTGGACGAACCTGACAGAGAGACGGTGGTTGTAGGGATGCCGGAAGAGAAGGTTCCATCGGAGGGCTTGAGTGAGAAGCCAGTAGAAGCCGAACCATACTTCAGCAGCAAACAGAGTAAGCCAGACGAGCCCAGAAGAAACGTTGTCGCCGTCATGTTCTTGTTTGATGAACAAGTGAGAGCATCTGTAAACCCAGATGGAGAATATTCCGGCGAACAACGATACGGTGAAGAGTCTGTAGATGAAGAGCTTTCCTTTGGGTCTATCCGTCTCGAACAATGCAACATAACTCTGATCACCTCTCTGCATCTTTCCGTTGCTCTTCTTTCTCATTCACTTCGAAGATGCTCCGATAGGTATAATTCTGATCACCTCTCATTCACATCCATTCAATTTGTTTACTATACCATTCCGTGTCATTATTGTAGCACTTTGTATTTCAAACTTATCACATGGACTTCAAATATCCAATAAACAGGTAAACGTGTGACGTATCTTATGAAATTCATTTCTCAATTTATTCTAATTCTAAGAATAAAATAAAAAATGTTATCAAATGCAAATTGATGACACGTTGTGATAGCATCAACACCACCCAGGTTTTAAATAATCTACATGATGACTTTTCGGTGCCTGAAAATTTTTCCTTTAATTAATAATTAACAATTAATGGTTAGGTTGGATCACAACAGTCCAACCCGGCAACCCCTGAGCTTGCAAGTCTGCTTACTGCCCCACTAGCGTTAGCAAAGCATGCTTGGTCGGCGCAGTTCGTAACGGTCAGCCACACAATAAAATAGTTTATTATTTTTAAAATAATATTATTTTTTATATTTGTTTTATTTAATAAGATATTTTATTTAAAAGTAAATAATTTTTTTGGACCAAAATTTAAAAGTAAATGATTGAGTGATATATTTGTTAAGGTAAAACTTACTTTTTCTGTTCAAAAATATAAGATATTTTTAATCAAATATCACCCTTTAATAAAATAGTTACCTATTTTTAAACTAACTTTATCTTTTTATATTACCTCTTATTACAATAAATATAAAGTCATTATCAATAAGAGCACTTTTGAAAAAAAAATGCTTACATCTCAAAAAATTAAAATACTTTACATTTTTTAACATCCAAATCTTTAAAAAATATCCCTAAATTTATTAACAGAGGGAGTATGTGCTTAACTTTATGGTGATATATGTAATATACTTTTATTAAATCAAATCAAGATATGTGAATTTCAATATCTTAATAACAAAATTTTGTTATAAAATAAATAATATATAAAAGATATGCATGTCTTGATTTAATTTGAAACAAGCACCTTAAGTATATAAAATTAAATATATAAGTTTTTTTGTTTATCTTTTTGAAAAATATTCATTAATTGCAAATTAAAAAATTAAAAATATCTTATATTTTTTAACAACTAGCATTAGCAAAATGTTGTGAAATTTTTTAATGAAAAAGTAATGATTACATTTTAAAAAATAAATATTAAAAAAATTAATTATTTAGTTGTAATTTTGACTCAATCACTAAATCGGCAAGAACTTCGTTCAACTAGTTAAAAAAGTTGAATCAATTTATCTTAGAGTCTCAAGTTTAAATTTTATGATATGTAATTGCATTAAATAAATATGTTAAAGATATCTCGACATACAACTAAAAATTCTTGACATTAAAGATGATAATGATCATCATGATGATGTTTCTAATATCTTAGTGTTATTGTTTTATTAATATTTAGAGAAGATTTATTTAGTTTATTTATTTTTGTTTGATTTTATTTTGAGAATAAGAACAGTAAATTTCATTTACTTTATTGTATTTTCATATATTTAATTTAAAGAAAAATTTAAAAATAAGAATAAAAAAGCATCAGAGCCCACAAGGCCAACACTGAGCCCGTAAGTTATAGGATCGGGCTCTACGAATCAAGGCCTTAAAGCACTACTATCAAAATACTTTTTTATGTTGCTCATGTATGTCAATTTAAAAAAAAAATTGAAATAAAAAAAGGCAATAGCAGATTTGTAATTTTTAAAAAGATTTTTTACATCACTTTTTTGGAAAACAAATGTGAAAAATATTTTTCACATCGATTATAAAAAAACTGACATGGAAAACTTATTTATTTCAAAGAAAAAAACTTTTTTCCTTCTTTTTCCATGTTGAGTTCAAAATAATCAATATAAAATATAGATACTCATTAAATTTTTTCAAAACTGACATGGTATCTCAATTTAAAATTTGGAGCCAAATCTATTTTTTTTCTCAATTTTTTATATTCACGATGCAAGTCTTCTCTCCTCTCTTCTTTTTTTTTTTTTTATTCAAAGCGTCCACCTTATCCCCTCCCTCTGCTATTTGAAGCCTCATCAATCATTGTTTCATAACAGCCTTGTTGCCTTTCGCTGTCACCGTTGCTGTTTGGGTTCCATGGATATGTATATTCCATTTCTCCTCCATTTTTAATACAACTAAAGGAGTAAACTTTTCTCCTCCGCCTCTCTATTTCCCTTCTGGTTGAAGTGCTTTTCCAAAAAATAAAGAAATATAATAGTAGAGATAATATTAAAATATAAATAAAGTCTCACATCTAAATATTAGAAGATAAATTATAAATATATAAGTTTAGAAAGTATATAATCAAATAACTTAAATTATTTTAGTAAATTATACTCTTCTTAAGCATATTAATATAAGAAATCTAACACTTTTATACTTTCTTGGTTGTGGGTGGTGTGTGGGTTGTTGTGGATGGTGTATTGGTAGCCATCAATGCCTAGGTCTTCAACTTGTAGTCCCATCCTTGCTATTTCAACTTGTAGGTGTGAGTGTTACTTATTTTCTTCTATTAGAGAGATTTTGCTAGCTCTTTTACTGTAAGTTTTTATTTTTTTTAAATTTTTATTGCCTGCTGGTATCATGATTAGTTGATTTAAATGAATATTTGTATAGTTAGATATTTTAATATAAAAATTTGTACCTTCAAATCTTTATTTTATTTCTCATTTATATTTTATGATAGTTGATTTAATTGAATATTTTAATATTTAAATATTTAGATTGTTGGATTGATTTAGTTAATATTGCTATTGATCTTGAATTAATTATATATTTCTAGAGTTATTAAAAATAAGAAAAAAATTTGCAAAATTTTTTAAAAATTAAATAAAACCTCATATTAAATTAATCATTTCTATTAAATTGAAGTCTTTTAATACTGTATAGATAAATTTGACGGAGTAAGTCTCATTCTTTGAAATTTTCATCAAAAGTTGGTCAAGAAAGACGGTCAGGTAAACTTTGTATTGATTTTCCACGGTGTTTTTATTTTAAATTATTTCTCCTTCTTTGGGTTGCGTGTTCAAATAAATAATAAATAAATATCCTATGAAACATGAAGCACTGGGAGTGATAATGACCAGATAAAGACGATACAGGATAAACCTTAATTTGATTGTCTCTTATTTTATAATTTTCCATTTTCAATCATTAAAGATGGTCAATAAAGTCGACTTTGTTTTTATTAATTTAATATTAATTAGGAGCACGAGATACGCCTTTAAAAATGAAAAGGCTCCAAAGATGAAGTGGAGTTGTCCCATTTTTCAACTTCTTGTTTTAATAAATGAAATTTTATAAAATCAAATCTTCTAAGTCATAATTTTGTAAACTTGAGCCTATTTAATTAAATAAGTTTAATTAAAAATCTGACCTAATTTTTTATATATCTTCAATTCATTTTTACAATTAGGTCTAACAATGTTTAAATTTAACCTGGAATTATCTATCACAAATCGTACGTTGTAAAAAAAAAAAAAAGAGGAAATATCTTAACATAGTACGAATTATAGCTATCAATTATCAAACATATAATTCATTGCCCATCCTTCCAACACTAATCGGGTATTTCATCACAGTATCTAACATTTTCAATACATCTCAACATATCAAAGGAGCTAGAAAGCATCCCAAGGAAGCCAAAGCAACAGACTTGAACAAGACCTCAGATGGCAAGCTTCCTCTATCAGTGCGTATAAAAAGAGCCTCATAAACAGGTTTATTCAGAACCACAATCAAAACGCACAGCACAATCTGCAACCCCAAATGGCTCCATGATCCCTCGAGAAGCCTCTTGAAGCCCCAAACTGCACCAAAGAGATTGAGCAGAGCGAGTGTGGCCATGATGGTGAACATGACGGAGGAGCTTCCAAAATACAAGACCTCTCGCTCGTAGCAGTCGAGGGTCTCTTTGGAGACAGCCTTGTCCGTGACATCGAACTTCATTTGGGAGAGATTGAGGTTGTTGGAGATGGTGTCCATGAAGCCAAACAGGTACGCCGTGGTCTTTCGAAACAGAGTCATACGTTGCAGGTTCCACCATGCCTTGGCTGTGCAGCCGCTGCTCAGAGCCTCCAAGAAGCTGTACGCATTATTTGCCAGAAATGCATACAAGAATGGAAGGATCCACAGGCTTGTAAGCTGCAACAATGAGGGAATAATCAGTTCAAAACCTCATATTTATAATAAATACTCTCTCACCACCGCAACATGCAGGACATCGTCAACTACGTAGTACTTAACAGTTTTAAAAAAAGTTAGATAGTAAAATTTTCATTGTTTAAATTTTTTTTATATTTTTCAATTATACTTTGACTGTTTGGCCAAAAGAAAAATTATACTTTGACTAAGTACTTCATATAAATGTCTTGATAATGATAATTGAAACTTTAATGTATAATTTTTTTTCTCAACAAAAGGTAACAAATAAGGTAGAGACATAGTTCAAAAGACTATAAAAATTGAACAACCTAATGTCTCATGTTTTAGACTAAGCATTGTTTTTAAAAAATATATATCCTATGCTGTAACATGGATTGAATAACATTTCATAATCATCAATAGGCTCCTAAAAACCACGCTGTATATTACACACACACACAAATATCCTATAAACCACTTTATTATATGCAAATTTGAATTTGATAAGTAGTTTAAATATATTCACTTATTCAATAAGTGTTTTAATTATAACTATTAAATTTTATCAACACTTAAAAATCATTGAGATTAATTTTCCTTCAAAAATTCAAAACAATTATCACAATCAAAGCATTTCTCACATGTGTTGTCACCGTCAAACATTTGATATTCAATTTGGTACTTTTTTAATATTATATGACCAAATTTTTTATAACCTTTCAGTTAAATTAAACAGTTGTTTTAATATCATATAAGTCGGATCATAACCCATTATATACTACTTATTAAGTACAATTCAATATGGGATTTTCACGTCTGATCAAGTGTACTCTACATCCTTACAAGATTAAAAAATAAAAAAGAAAAAAACACAGAGAAGAGGGATTAATATGAGATTACCTGTGGGAACAGAGGAATGCCATGAAATGTGGAAATGGGAAGGAGAATGAGATAGCAAAGAGTTGGAAGAGAGAGTGGAGCCCAAAGCAGGTACGTACTGTATCCCATTTGAAAACCCAAGCTGATCTTCCCGTGCCCATAAATGAAAGGACAGTACTTGGAGAAGAAGACCTGAGACAAGCCATGTCCCCACCTCCTGTGCTGAACAAGAAGCACGTCAAGGGTTGTCGGAGCTAGTCCCATGAAAGCCTTTCTTTCTGGGTTATAGTAAATCGATTTCCAACCTCTGCTTGAGATCACAAGCCCTGTGACTACGTCTTCCGCAGGAATCCCATATATCAATCCCATCTTCACAAAAAAAAAAAAAAAGTCATTTGTTTCTTTCATTAATGTGTCACGCATGTATGCATGAACATCTTAAATACTTCAAAGTGCAACTTAAAGAGTTGATCATCTGTAGGTTAGGACTTAAAAAAGACATACCTCTCTGCCCCACTGTGTGCCCTTCTCATATGCACAACTGGCAAGAGCTTTTGATGCTTCAATCAGTTCATCAGCTGTTCTTTTATCTTCTGTCTTAGGTTTGGTGTCCCATTTTGCTTTGCGATAATCTTTGAAATGTGTTCCTGAGAGACTCTCTCTTCTATGGAAACACCCAGTTCCACAGTATAGGGTTCCTCCATGTCCACATAAGCCAGCAAGCTCAATCTTAAGCAATTCACACACACGCACAAAGGTTTTAGTCTTTCATGTTTCAAATCGTCAGTGTCAATTATTTTTATCTGTAAAACATGGAAATTGGAATTGCATGCGGCGCATGCACATGGCACTGAAAAGAAGAGTTTAAAGTGTGAGACCAAGTGTTTTAATTAGTTCACCTGAGCGGCCACAGCAAAAGAATTTGAGAGGAAGTCATTCTTAGTGAGATTGTTGAAGCTTTGGGGAAATTGCACATAAGCTATCTGGTGGCCTCTTGTTTCATCCATGAAGAAACACAGTGCTTCTTGGATCGTATCTGCACTACTTGGATACATGTCGCAGTCCAAGTTGAGAATTATAGCTCCATTGCTTATCTCTGATGACACTCTTATCTGCAAATGCACAAGTAATTTAATTTCTGTCTGTAACTATATATAATTAATCATATAGTTCTGTTTTAAAATATCACTGCTTCGTATAAATTATTAGTTACGAGTGCATTCATAGCTCCTGCTTTGAAGTGGTGAGGGACATTCGGTCGCTTCTCCCGTGCCACGTATACTAGGGTTGGCAATGGAAATCCGTCATCATCTACAGCATTTGTGTCCCTTCCGTCAATTATAATCTGGGCCAAAAAAAAAATAAAAAGTAAAAAAATTATTCATGAATATAGGCATGCATGAAACACTACATAGCATATAAGTTTCAACACTTGTTAAACTAATCATTTGGTCCATTATTTTCAACTCAATTTTAACCTAGTTTTTCAATTATAACTGCTATGTAACTCAATTATTATAGTTTTGACCGATTAAAACTCTGCCTCTAAATTTTAGAACTTAACATATGCAACTCAATCATTGTGATTTTAAGCATTTAAAACATTAGTCTCTAAACTTTAATAATGACTTTATTTTTTATAATTTTATTTTTTAAAATATAGATGCCAACATTTTAAATATGTATTGCAAGAATCAAAGTTTATGAATTGGGTTTTATTTAATCATGCTAAAATTATCGAGATTGAGTTTCAATAAATTAAAACTGTAGGAACAAGATGATTAATTTCTCCCATAAGTTATATATATACACAAGTACCTGCACGATGGGATGATGGTTCTGCTTTGTGGCTTTGGCATTCCATTCTGAGAATCCTCTGTGTTGGCTCCTCACTGCATCCGGAACCTTTCCTTTTTCTACAACTGTGTCTATCTCACTTTTCATATCTTCGTATAATTTCTGCAAAAACCATATTGAACTATTCAGCTTATATAGATACATATGCTCATTGCTTTTGTTAAGTTATATTAACATTAATTACCTTGATGGATGAGAATTTTGGATGATTTTGATGGCTGGCCCCAGAATTCTGGGAAAAGTAAGCCTCAGGAGATCTGGGTTGAATGTTGAATCTTCTGCAGAAAGGAATCCAATGCTTGGAGAAAAGAGAAGCTCTGAGAAGAGCATAGAAAGTGAGCTCAGAACCTCCATCATCAGAGAGATAAACACTGAGCTTATTTGCAGGATAATTGTAAGACATTGCTGATAACAATGTGTTCATCACCATGCTTGGTGGCTCCAACTTTGGATCTGCCGTGCACACAAATATGTCAACTCCTGGTAGCTCCTCTTCACCATATCTGTAAATTCACATGTCCCGGCACAAGTTATTTAATTTATTTACCTTTACGTACGTATAAATTAACACACAATGTATCGTCAACTCACACTATTTATTTTAAAAAGGGGGGGGGGATATAGTTTTGATCTCTAAAATTGTGATTAAACTTGGGTCAAGGTCGTTGTCTGTTTCATTAAGAAACCAATCCCTCCAATTGCGATCATTCTGGTCAATATAAGTGACACATCATTGGCACACATCAATAACAAGTCATCCATTTCCCAGTGTCATGACCTATGAAGTATCAATACTTCAAAATACATCACATATCTATATTGGTATTGTATTCGATACTAATACTCGTCGATACTTTTTCAATATGCATATCCATAGAATTTCAAAGCATTATTTTTTTAATTTTAAAAAATTTTATTTTTTAATATGTATTCGATACTTCTAAATTACGAGTTGATAAGCCAATACTTCGAGGCTATTTTTAAAAAATTAAATTTTATTAAATACTATGATATTAATTTTTTTATTTTTGATATATTTCTATGATTTGCTTTTAAATTCAAAAATTATATTTTCATTTAAAAAATAATTTTTAGATATAATAAAAGGATAAAAATTATTTTTAATTATAAAAATTACAAAAATATAATCTTTTGACATATAAACCCTAAGTATGAAACTATTAGTAGAGACTAGACTGCAAGCAATTAGGTAAAGATGAAATAAGAGTATAATTAATGATGATATTTTGATCAATATTTCTATAAAGGACTATATATATATATATATTGAGTTGGATATTTTTTAAATTAAAATTACATTTTTAATGTTTTTATGATTTTTTATGAATATATTTGCATGTATAAAAAATGTATCGTATCTTATATATTTAAAAATAAAAATATTGACATATCCGATACATGTATCAGTATCTGTGCAACATGTGTCATGACTTGGCCATAGTTGATTGTAAATTTAATGATTGATTTCTTAATGAAAAATCACATGGTCTTTTATTCAAGTCGACCACAATTTTAGAAACTAAAAACCTTTTAATGTGTATTAAGTAATGACACAATGAGTTCACATGTGAATGTGACATATAATAAGTATTAGATAAAGATGAGTTACATATTACTTTCTTATTTAAAAATTTAAGAAATTTTTTATTGAATTTCACTTTTTAATAAATTAATTACTTGTCTTCAAACTAATATCATCTTTTTATATTTATTTTAATTTAATAAAATATTTAAATTTAAAATGAATATAAAATAGTTTATTATCATGTGCACTTTAAAAAAAACACATTAATTATACTTTGAAAATACTAAAATTTTAAAATTATCTTATATTTTTTAACATTCAACCCTTTTAAAAATAATTTATTTTTTTTAATGGATGGAGTATAATATATATGCATTAGTTTTTATCATTAAATCCTTTGCTTACAGAGCATGCAATTTTTGTATAAATTATGTATTTATCATATTATTATTAAAACTCTTAAACTTGTCACAGTTGAGCTTAAAATTTTCATATATTAAAAAAAAGGGGGGGGCATCTAAATCTATATCGAAATACAAATCTACTAACCAGGACAGAGGTTGACACCATGTTGATTGGCTCTGTTTTCGTTACAGATAAGAAGATAAGGAGGAACTGATGGACAATTGCACCCATTGAATGAGAGGATTTAAATAATGCTTGGAAACAACATTAATTAATCATGAAAAGTTCCATTTGAGAAAAGGATAAAAATGGAAACATGAAAGTGAGGAGGAGAATTAATTAATTAATTACCTGCGGGAGAGGATGTGTTTGAAGGGGGAGTGATGGAGAATAGTCCAACGAAGAGATTGAGTGAGAATCCAGAACACTCCGAAGCACATCTCCGACCACATCATACACACATGAACCCATCCTCCTCCTCCTCCTCCTCCTCCGGCGGCAAATACCTTCCTTATTCTGTACCCCCATATCATGCACATCCCTTCATACACACACACAATCATGAGTATGTACTATGTACTGTGTAATTATGTTCATGAAGGCGTCATTAATCTAGAAGAAACACAACATTAACGTAAAACGTACCTGCGAAAATTGTGCAAGAAAACACCCTGTAAGCTCCTCTCCATTTTACTTCTTTCGCCTCATATAACATGGAGCCTGTTTCATCATCACATGCTTCCGTCTCTTCTCCTCTGCTTCCCATTCTCATCTCTCTCTCTCTCTCTCTCTCTCTCTCTCTGCTATGTCAATGTGTTGTCTGTTAATCTATCTTTCTACTTATCTCAGCTCTTTCTCTGTATTTACATGTATGATATATCTCATTTCTGGTCTGCGTACGTTAATGTGACAGTTTCACGTGGAGAGAGAATAGTGATGTCCTGGTGGCTCACGACACTGAGCGGTCAAGTGACTCCTTGATTGCTCGGTAGCCAAATAGATTCCGTAAGCGCACTCAAACACTAAGTGACAGTATTTAAATCGTTAAACTTCATGTCAATACTTTTAAATTTATATTTCACTTAATATTAATAAATATATTATTTTTTTTTAAATTATTAATCTAAATTTTAACAGTTTTAATAATATAAATATTTAATATTTATATTAAATATAATTATTGAATTTACTCCCTCTTTAAAAAAAATTATAAAAAAATGTATAAATTTTATAACTTTTCACCGCTTTACTTTTAATATTTTTTACTATCTAAATTAAACAAAAAATATTTGAACTCAGAAGTTTATTACATGTGTAATATTTTAATAATTGAGATAAAATATGAAAAAGATATTTACATAAAAAATTATATTAGCATGTTTAATATAATTTTTTGAAAAGAAAAATGATGATCAATATCTACTTATATTATTACAATTTTAATCATAATGCAATTATTATTTTTAATTATTTAAATTATTTTTAAAAAATTATTGATTTTTAAATTAAATTATCTTGTACCCTTAATTTTGGATCTTGGCTCTACCACCAGGTTTAGTGTTACAGTAATCAAATATACTGTATTTTAAAAAATAAAATGAGATCAGTTTTAAGATGTTTTATTTTTTTATTTTGAAAATAAAAAATAAAAAAGTAATTAAAATTAAAATAGTTATTCAAACAATTTTGTATATTTTATTTTTAAAAATAGAAACCAAATTATCGTCTCCGAGCCTTAAAATCTCCTATATTTTGTATTGTTGTTATTATTGCATGATTATGTATCTTTTCCACGGATTAATTGGCCTAGACTAACCAATAATCCTCCAATTCAATATGGACTTTTTAACAACGCAATTTAATATGAACGATGATTCTTTGGGCGTTGGACAATTACATCTTTGTCTTAGCAGATCCCAATTTGGATCTCTCCTTATTTTCAAGGAAAAAAAAAGGAACTTTTTAATATATATATATATATATATATAATATTCAAATCTGGACTGAAATATTTATAACTTTAAAAGACATATTTTACAAATCGTGAATAATACAATTTATCTTTCAAATTAAGTACATTACAAGTAGTTTATAAAAATTAAATCTCCTCTGCATTATATAAATTTGAAAAGTGGGTGATGATATTATTCAATTAGTTTTTATCAAAAAAATTACAATGAATAAAATTTATTTTTTATACTATTATCTAATCTCTAATATTATTGACTCATATTCAAGCATTGTCAAGTTATATATAAATATAATTAATCATTATCGTTTGAAAGGAAAAAAACACCAAATATTTATGTATAGTTATAAAACTTTAAATATTTTTTGATAAAAATTAAATTTTAAAAATTAAATCAACAATTGCAACCAATTCAAGGGACGGTACAATTTATCATCCCTTTTAAAAACCCAAAAACTTGATTAAAATAATTTATGGCTATAATATAGTGGCAGTGTGGAATTTGGTACGAAACCAAACTCTTCCAAAAGCAGTTAGGTCCATCTAATCTCACATGCAAAACATCGATCATTAGATGCACTTAATTATTGGATCCAAAAAATATTTTTTTATTTTTAATTAAAAAACAGCTCACGTGGCTTAAAACAATCATCACCGTCGATATTTACATGTATCTATAAAGAAGGCGAGAAAATCTCATCAGGCATCATGACTATTTATACTAAGAGATATTAAATTTTGTTACTTTTAAACTTAGCCTTTTCTTCCCCCGATACTTAGAGATGGCCCGTAGATGAAAATTATAAATTATGCCTTCAAAGATTTTAATTAGCTTGATTTTCTAAATAATTTCAGTTGCTACCCTCATAAAAAAAATCACTCGCTTTCTTTAAAAAAAAAAATCCACTCCTCTTCCTAAAACTTACTTGAACCGGAAACTTATATGTATATAATAATCTTAAATAAAAAATAGTTCTAATAAAATTTATTTAAAAATAATAAAATTAAAGAAATTATTATTTTATAGTATTTATAAAAATTTTGGTTGTACAAAAAAGTTATTATTTTTATATTATTATAATTTTATGTTTTATAAATTATAACTTGATATTTAATTTAATAAATTTTATATTTATAGTAATTTAAAAATATTGAAGATTATATTTTTAAAGAATATTGAAATTTATTTTAAAAATAAATTTTGCCTCAACTGATTAATTTCCCAGTGTCCGTCTCCAAATATCAGTCATACACTCCCTCCATTCAAAAATATAAGGTAATTTTTATGAGTTGGATGTTAAAAAATGTAAGGCATTGTAATCTTTCAAGATATAAGCATTGCCTTTTTTTTAAAGTATCTCTATTAATAATGACTTTATATTTATTATAGGGTGTTTAATAGGGATAAATTTAAAAAATAAAATTAATTAAAAAGTAAATAATTATTTTATTGAGAGATAAAATTTAATTAAAAATATTTTATTTTTAAATGAAGAAAGTAGAGAGAAAAGCACTTTCAAATTGGCTCCGACATTGTGGCCAAAAGGGGGAAAAATGATTTATTCAAGGTACCAATCCCTGATTGCTTATTAAATTAATTAAGACATTAATTTTAAAATTAATAGTCAAAATTTTACTTAAATTGTGATCAAATCGATCTTTTTTTTTTTTTCGTTACAATAATAACTTGACCTGAATTTTTATATTAAGTTTCTATTACTATAATTCGTGCCAAACTTTGTCCGCAAGACAACACGTCGTTTTCATTTAGACAAAAAGTGTTTTAATTTTTTTTTTTTTAAAAAAGCAAAGAACAACTTGATAATTATTGGGGTGAGGAGGACGGCGGCCGATGAAAAAGTTCTCAGCACCCTAGAATTTGAATGCTTCTTTTTCCTCCACGTGGCTGGTTCCATGTATCCTGCTTCAGTGCTTCTCATCATCAACAGCGAGGGTATTTTTTTTATTTATTTTAAGAATGGATCATGGAAGGACAAAAATAACCCTGCCACTGCTACAAATGCTAGCTTTACCAGAATAATGATTTTTTTTTTTTTTTGCGAGTGAAAATGATCCTGAAATTTGCATGGCAGATCCCAATTAGGATTGCCACCATCCCAACTATCTGCCATGGGCAATTTGTATGCTGATGTAACAGTACATGATCCGTCACTAGTGAGATGTCATTGACTTTGGCTTTAGTTTTTCAAATTCAGAAAGGAAAAAAGGAGTGGATGACAAATGGCAAAGGGAGCCAAGGTCTCCAATCCAATCTTTCCAAAAATCGAACCATATTACCATTTCGAAGGTCCCATTTGGTTGTAATTTTGAAGACATTCCATATACTAGCCAAGTTCCTTCGCGCTCCCTCCATCCTGTAAAGTATTTTTTAAAAAATTTATTTTATTTTTAAATAAAAAAAGTGACAATAATATTTTTAAATAATTAAATAATTTTATTTTTATTTTAAAAAATAAAATAGATCATCAATTATATCTTTTTCTACCATCATTATGATATTAATTATGATATTATTAAGAGTAAAATTGAAAAATTATTATATTTTTATGTGAGTTTAATTAAATAATAAATTTTTATTAATATGTGAGATTTGATTAAAAATATTTTATATATAAAAACGTACAGAGTAAGCGTGATCTGGAGCCATTTTTTGAATGATGAAAGTACATTTGTATGTCATTTTCTTGCACATTTTTCCCAAAGAATTCTCAGCCAGAGTTGGACCGGCCGTCCAGAATAATGAATTTAATCAACTAACACATGCATGCAAACACATTTCCTTCCTTTCTTGAAAAAAAAAAAAAGTTAAAAACACAAATCCTTCTTTTTTGGTAAAAATGTTGCAAGCATAATTTTTTTTTCCATTTGATCGCTCAATAATTTGAAAAGCTTAAATATATTATCTTCATCCATTCAAACTAATTTTAAAACCTTAATTGTGTGAAATTGTGTCATTATCAATGACAATCTCATAATTACATCAGCAATACTTCTGACATTTTTTTTTAATGTGATTGTATATGCCATGATTTAAACTCCAAATTTTAGGATAAATTGATTTAACGTTTGCAACCAATCAAACGAAAGTGAGTGGCCAAGCCACCTAATTTGATCATAACTTTGCACTCATAAAAGTAATTTCGATCGCCTCATAAATGATTTCATATGAAATAATCAATATTGAAAATGAGCCTTTTTATTTTTATTTTTTATAGAACACATACCAAAACAACAGCTCACTTTTATAGAACACACATGAATTATCTTTGCTTTCAAGTTGATTAGTATTCAAAGGACAATAAACGTTGCCCAGTGACGACACCACCTTCTTATGGCCAAGTTTAGGATTCTAGTCTTGCATTGACATGATACTCTGTGTACGTGGCCTTCTCACTGTGAAGTCTACTTACACATTCGTTACGCGAGATGATTCTCCGGACATAAGATCCTTACTTAACCTAACGAACATTGACTTAATAAAATGGGCTAATTTCTTATAGTATGATGAACCAAAATTCGAACCATCGTTGAAAAAAGTACTTACATG